GAAGATGATAGACTGACTCGGTTGTTCCAGTCACACCTGGCTGACATTTTGGTTTCTCTGCTGCCTTTGTCTGCCATCTTGGCCATGACTACACATCTTAGTAGGAGGAAGTTGCATCTAAATGCTTATCTACACCAAAGTCCATTCTCTGTTATTCCTACAAATTGAGTATCTAGGCCACTTTTTTGTTTTTATCCTCCGACTTCGTCGCTCTGCCACTACTGTGTGCCACCTTGGCTCTTCCTGAACAACATCGGCCATCCTGGATCTATCTTTCCCTTATCTGCCATGTGTTTCCTTACTGTGGTTAAGGAAACACACAAACACGCACACACTGTTTTCACCCTTTCTCCTTTACCCCCAACCTTTTCAATATACACAAAACTACAGAAAACGCTTTGAAACGAGGGTTCTACTGCTGGTTTTTGCTTTCCGTTTCAAAATTCTTTGCTGCGTTGTACCCTACTGAACACGACACAGCAGCACATACTGTAAGGACAAGGCTAACCTCACCATGCCCACTTTCTCATCCATGCAGTCAGACTGGGTCCCCTGCCAGCAGTCTCATCCCCCTGGGCCTGTGTGTATCCACTGTGTCTGTCTGTAGCACTGTTAATAGGCTACCAGCAGCTAGCCGCCCAGCCTTACCCTGGCTTAGCAAGGGATAGCCTGCTAATGCTGAATCATTCTAATGGTCCAGGGGGCTGTCTTATCTGTCTGTTGACCCAGGGGAGGGGGGGATTACAGTAGCTTCAACCCCAGCCAGGGGGGCTCACGGTCGGGCATGGTTTGGGGATTCATCCTGTCTCATGGTTTGATTTAATTTGGTTGACTGGCAGGACCTGGCTATGGTCTCTGGTCCTAATCCTACCCCACAAAAAGAGCCACGTGGCTGAGCTCGGGCCAAGTGATGACGCCCTGTCTCTCTCAGGAAGAGTTCAGATGGGTCAGTGGGGACATACTCGGGTGCTTTGGGGCTACCATCTCCTGATGATGGCCTGACTGCTTCACTGGGTCATAGTAGGGCATAAAGGTTTTGTAACCACCACCAGCTGCTGTATGGCATATTATTTATATTATTTAAATGATTGGCTGCTGTAAGAGATGTACAGTTAATCTCACGTGTTTTATAGTAGTAGGGAGTGTGTACCTTGTGTAAGGTGATAGTGTGGAGATTATGTAAGGTGGTATAGTGTGGAGATTATGTAAGGTGGTATAGTGTGGAGATTGTGTAAGGTGATAGTGTGGAGATTGTGTAAGGTGATAGTGTGGAGATTGTGTAAGGTGATAGTGTGGAGATTGTGTAAGGTGGTATAGTGTGTAGCTTGTGTAAGGGGTTATTGATTGAGTGCCTTCTCACCAACTTCTATCAATGATTACAGTCAGTCATTATATACATGGCTCTGATTACTCCTTCCCAAGAACAGGGAAGAAACTACAATCAGTGGCTCTGCTGAAGATTCCGCTCACTAACGACGCTCCTCAAACATCATAAAGGAAGCCATGGCCATACAAGCAGACGTAAACATACATACTAGGATCTCCAATGAGTATGATACGTTTATTGTCACAGGGTCACCAGGAATCATTATGTATGCAGGCTTTTATTTCAACCAATAAGCCATGGTCAAATTCTACTATTTGAAGTATCACAGATAAGTAACCAAAATGGTGTCTGAATATCTAACAGTATTTCTGAAATAGGTGATTCAAAAATGTGTGTTCTAATTAACCAAGCAGTTATTCTTAATACATACAGTGTCTGTCTTGATGTTCAGCTGAAGTGAGAACCAGCCTACACAGTGAGTCCCAAGGATCAACGTTGAGAGACCATACAAGACGTCACAGAGAGAGTTGCTAGGTGATAGATAACTACAGTATGTAAACAGAATCCTGGCCATGAGGTCTCTTATCAGAGCATTGTATAAGGCTTTTATTTGATCTCCACAGTTCCTGTTTTGAGTGTCCCTGAGGAGATGTGTGTGTGTGTGTGTGTGTGACCTGGAGGAACGATAAGACCAGTTGAAGTTTAGTGTGATTGTGTATGTATAAGAGACGGGTGTTTTTACCTGGGGCTTCTCTCTGGGGAGAGAGTCACTCACACCTTATTGACTAAGAGCAGCATGGTATTAGGGCCTCATATATATACAGTTGAAGTCGGAAGTTTACGTACACCTTAGCCAAATACATTTAAACTCAGTTTTTCACAATTCCTGACATTTAATCCTAGTAAAAATTCCCTGTCTTAGGTCAGTTAGGATCACCACTTTATTTTAAGAATGTGAAATGTCAGAATAATAGTAGAGAGAATGATTTATTTCAGCTTTTCTTTCATCACATTCCCAGTGGGTCAGAAGTTTACATACACTCAATTTGTATTTGGTAGCATTACCTTTAAATTGTTAAACTTGGGTCAAACATTTACATTTACATTTACGTCATTTAGCAGACGCTCTTATCCAGACTTACAAATTGGTGCATTCACCTTATAGCCAGTGGGATAACCACTTTACAATATGATTTTTTTTCTTTCTTTGGGGTGGGGTAAGGGGGGGGGGTTAGAAGGATTACTTTATCCTATCCCAGGTATTCCTTAAAGAGGTGGGGTTTCAAGTGTCTCCGGAAGGTGGTGAGTGACTCCGCTGTCCTGGCGTCGTGAGGGAGCTTGTTCCACCATTGGGGTGCCAGAGCAGCGAACAGTTTTGACTGGGCTGAGCGGGAACTGTGCTTCCGCAGAGGTAGGGGGGCCAGCAGGCCAGAGATGGATGAACGCAATGCCCTCGTTTGGGTGTAGGGACTGATCAGAGCCTGAAGGTACGGAGGTGCCGTTCCCCTCACAGCTCCGTAGGCAAGCACCATGGTCTTGTAGCAGATGCGAGCTTCAACTGGAAGCCAGTGGAGTGTGCGGAGGAGCGGGGTGACGTGAGAGAACTTGGGAAGGTTGAACACCAGACGGGCTGCGGCATTCTGGATGAGTTGTAGGGGTTCAAACGTTTCGGGTAGCCTTCCACAAGCTTCCCACAATAAGTTGGGTGAATTTCGGCCCATTCCTCCTGACAGAGCTGGTGTAACTGAGTCAGGTTTGTAGGCCTCCTTGCTCGCATACGCTTTTTCAGTTCTGCCCACACATTTTCTATAGGATTGAAGTCAGGGCTTTGTGATGGCCACTCCAATACCTTGACTTTGTTGTCCTTAAGCCATTTTGCCACAACTTTGGAAGTATGCTTGGAGGATTTTTGTCCATTTGGAAGACCTGTCTTGAGATGTTGCTTCAATATATCCACATAATTTTCCTTCCTCATGATGCCATCTATTTTGTGAAGTGCACCAGTCCATCCTGCAGCAAAGCACCCCCACAGCATGATGCTGCCACCCCCGTCCTTCACGGTTGGGATGGTGTTCTTCGGCTTGCAAGCCGCCCCCTTTTTCCTCCAAACATAGCGATGGTCATTATGGCCAAACTGTTCTATTTTTGTTTCATCAGACCAGAGTACATTTCTCAAAAAAGTACGATCTTTGTCCCCATGTGCAGTTGCAAACCGTAGTCTGGCTTTTTTATGGCGGTTTTGGAGCAGTGGCTTCTTCCTTGCTGAGCGGCCTTTCAGGTTATGTCGATATGACTCGTCTTACTGTGGATATAGATACTTTTGTACCTGTTTCCTCCAGCATCTTCACAAGGTCCTTTGCTGTTGTGCTGGGATTGATTTGCACTTTTCGCAACAAAGTACGTTCTTCTCTAGGAGACCGAACGCGTCTCCATCCTGAGTGGTATGACGGCTGCATGGTCCCATGGTGTTTATACTTGCGTACTATTGTTTGTACAGATGAACGTGGTACCTTCAGGCGTTTGGAAATTGCTCCCAAGGATGAACCAGACTTGTGGAGGTCCCAAAAAAAAATTCTGAGGTCTTGGCTGATTTCTTTTGAATCTCCCATGATGTCAAGCAAAGAGGCACTGAGTTGGAAGGTAGGCCTTGAAATACATCCACAGGTACACCTCCAATTGACTCAAATGATGTCAATTAGCCTATCAGAAGCTTCTAAAGACATTACATCATTTTCTGGAATTTTCCAAGCTGTTTAAAGGCACAGTCAACTTAGTGAATGTAAACTTCTGACCCACTGGAATTGTGATACAGTGAAATAATCTGTCTGTAAACAATTGTTGGAAAAATTACTTGTGTCATGCACAAAGTAGATGTCCTAACCGACTTGCCAAAACTATAGTTTGTTAACAAGAAATTTGTGGAGTGGTTGAAAAACAAGTTTTAATGACTCCAACCTAAGTGTATGTAAACTTCCGACTTCAACTGTGTGTGTGTGTGTGTGTGTGTGTGTGTGTGTGTGTGTGTGTGTATATATATATATATATACACACACACACACACACACACACACACACACACACACAGCCTGCAGCAGGAGATAGAAAACAAGGGGAAGATGCAAGAAAAAGATGGGACATAATGCTGTGTCTCACGTCAGTGCTGGCCTACTGGTAGTCTGGCTAAATAGGTGTTATTAGTTAGACATGCTTGGACCTGAGTTGCTATATATAAGAGTCTCTTTCTGTCTTTTTATTCCTCTTGAGTGGGTAGCCACTAGCCAGTGTGTGTGCTGCTGTATATCACATGACCATTTGTCAGTTTAGGGACGACACCACCTCAGTTGACTTCAGCCTCACCCCTGGGGCCACACACACACACACATACTTAAAGCACTCCCATTGAGACCTGCCTAATTGTTAAGCTCAGTCGCACAACCGAGCCATTGAGGATGTTTGAGTGTCCTAACAAGATACTTTGTGCTTTACATCGCTACATTGGTGTGCCTGTAACTGCTATGGATCATGGTCTACAGTTAGTTCTGGGAGGCTAAGACTGTGTTTCAAATGGCACCCTATACCCTACGTAGTTTGCTACTTTTGCGCACATGCATGTAGTGCACTATTGGGAGTAGGGTGACGTTTGGGAGACAGACTGAGTAATTCAGTGTGGTGAATGGAGAGTAGTGACAGAGTGTGGAAAAAGGTTAGGGTTAGTAACAGTGTGGACAGGGTCAGGTCATTGTACTGCTAGGGCGTTGCTGTTCTCAGTGGGATATTTGGGGAAACATAAATCTGCCCTCCAGACTGTTACAGTAACTAAGTTGGATGTGAGATTTACTGATCGAACTCTGACACGCAACACAATACAGCCCTTGTAACGGCAGCTGCAGCCTAATAAAAGTTTTTTCAAAAGATTTCCATGAAGTTATTGTGTAACAGAGCAGGATGTACATATTCTATAGTGGCTCTATTGTAGACTGGCATTGGGTGCCACCTATTGGTTCTGGTACGCTACTACAACATCACCCCTTGTTACCTAAGACTATCTCACAGATAGAACAATAAGACAGATATTTCACCGGATGTATAAATGTGAAGCATCTTCTTGGCGTTTCCACTGGATTTTGGCCAACTATGACTCATTTGTTCCCATTGAAGACCACAGCCTGTCGTTTATCTTGGTTTAGTTATACAAATCTTTGATTTTCTGACATGCTGAAACCTCACTGGCTTTCATTTCATAACCATGACCTTGCAGATGTTTGATAAGCATGATGACCTTAGTCAGTGTTTGACATTCAAAGGCATGTATCAAATAAAGGAAAAACAAACAAGGGCTTGTTATGATACTCTAACTATGACATTTTCATGGAAAGAATACAATATTGGTCACAAAAACAAAGGCTGTAGTGCTGTGAGTCAGACAGATGGTCACAGGATGTGGTGCGTTTTGCATCATTTTTTAATATGGTGGACATGACCTAAGTCATGAGATCCCAGTCATCCCACCGCTACCTCATGAGATGGTTAACCATGTGACTTCTGGGTAGATGAGTTGTTTGTTTGTTATGTTAGGACTCGTGAGTTGACTTGGACTTGAAAGCTAGGGACTTAGGACTTGAGTCAAACTCTAGATTTAGGAACTTGACTACATCACTGCCACTAAGTGCCTAACCTTCTCTCGTCCTCCCTCTCTCTCTCCGTCTTCTTCTTCCTAGGTGATCAGCTGTTTTGGCATCGCCGTCCTGACTGGTCGCTACGTGGGCTTTGCTGTGGTGGCCCTCCTGGTTGAGATCAACTCTGTGTTCCTCCACCTGCGCCAGATCTTACGCATGGCCAACCTAGTGGCGGGCGACCTCTACCGCATCAACAGCATGGTCAACCTAGGTACTGTCATGTTCATAAGGTTTCAATGATGAAAGCATATTTTGAATGAACAGCTAGCTTGTGCTAGTCATTATCTATAACTTCACATCATGAGGTGTTGCCATGAAGTGGTTTGTTTACATTACGTTTCAACTGTAGTAAGTTGATTATACAAATGTTAGCATCATAGAATTACATATACACTGAACAGAAATATAAACACAACATGTAAAGTGTTGGTCCCATGTTTCATGAGCTGAAATAAAAGATCCCAGAAATGTTCCATACGCACAAAATGCTTATTTCTCTCAAATTTTGTGCACAAATTTGTTTACATCCCTGTTAGTTAGCATTTCTCCATTGCCAAGATAATCCATCCACCTGACTAGTGTGGCATATAAAGAAGCTGATTAAACAGCATGATCATTACACAGGTGCCCCTTGTGCTGGGGACAATAAAAGGCCACTCTAAAATGTGCAGTTCTGTCACACAACACAATGCCACAGATGTTTTGAGGGAGCTTGCAATTGGCATGCTGACTACAGGAATGTTCACCAGAGCTGTTGCCAGATAATTGAATTAATTTCTCTACCATAAGCCGCCTCCAATGTTGTTTTAGAGAATCTGGCAGTACGTCCAACTGGCCTCACAACCGCAGACCACTTTTTTTTTTTTTTAAAGGTATCTTTGACCAACAGATGCATATCTGTATTCCCAGTCATGTGAAATCCATAGATTAGGGCCTAATTTTTTATTTTAATTGACTGATTTCCTCATATGAACTGTAACTCAGTAAAATCTTTGAAATTGTTGCATGTTACGTTTATATTTTTGTTCAGTATAGAATTACATATAATAGGATCTCTGTTCTTAGCGCTAAGACGTACTGCTGACAATAACAAACTGCATATCATTCCAGGTACCTACGTGGTGTTCCGGATCAACACCCTGGCCTGGATGACCCGCTGGCTGGTCCTGAACCGGGACAACATCCCCCTGTTCAGCTACACAGTGGGGAGTATAGGGCTAGCCATCATGACCGCCATGAATATAGTGCTGTTCTACCGCCTGCTGAGGTCTGACTTCCTTAAGAGTAGTGCACCCACGCCCACGGAGGGTAAAGAGAGTAGAGGGTAAGGAGAGGGAATAAGATGTCCTTGAGTATTCGAGAGGATGGGGAGGATGTATACACACACACAAACACTTATACACACACAGATACATAAGACATCCTGTACAGAAGTCTGGAGGGCGAGGATGTCAGTCACATACAAACACACACGCATAAATACACACTTTGTGGCCAATAAACCTTGTACCTTATGCCTGTACTCTACCTAAGAGATCTGACAAAATACGCTTCCCCATCTCTCTCTTCTATTTTGGGGTACAGGCATTTACAATTCACACACACAAAGTCCATTGAATGATAGCCAAAAATACACATATATAAGATACACAATTCTACTATTCGTTACGTTCTACAGTGCATTCGGAAAGTATACAGACCTCTTGACTTTTTCCACATTTTGTTACGTTACAGCCATATTCTAAAATGGATTAAATAGTTTTTTTCCCCCCTCATCAATCTATGGTCCTCTGGAGCTCAGCTGGTAGAGCACGGCGCTTGTAACGCCAAGGTAGTGGGTTCGATCCCCGGGACCACCCATACACAAAAAATGTATGCACGCATGACTGTAAGTCGCTTTGGATAAAAGCGTTTGCTAAATGGCATATTATATTATTATTACACACAATACCCCATATGACAAAGCAAAAACAGGTTTTTAGAAATGTTTGCACGTTTATTTAAATAAAAACAGAAATATCACATTTACATAAGTATTCAGACCCTTTACTCAGTACTTTGTTGAAGCACCTTTGGCAGCGATTACAGCCTCGAGTCTTCTTGGATATGACGCTGCAATCTTGGCACACCTGTATTTGGGGAGTTTTCCCATTCTTCTCTGCAGATCCTCTCAAGCGCTGTCAGGTTGGATGGGGAGCGTTGCTGCACAGCTATTTTCAGGTCTCTCCAGAGATGTTCGATCGGGTTCAAGTCCGGGCTTTGGCTGGGCCACTCAAGGACATTCAGAGACTTGTCCCGAAGCCACTCCTGCGTTGTCTTGGCTGTGTGCTTGGAGTCGTTGTCCTGTTGAAAGGTGAACCTTCGCCCCTGTCTGAGGAGCAGGTTTTCATCAAGGATCTCTCTGTACTTTGCTCCGTTCATCTTTCCCTCGATCCTGACTAGTCTCCCAGTACCTGCCGCTGAAAAACATCCCCACAGTATGATGCTGCCACCACCATGCTTCACCGTAGGGATGGTGCTAGGTTTCCTCCAGACGTGACGCTTGGCATTCAGGCCAAATAGTTCAATCTTGGTTTCATCAGACCAGAGAATCTTGTTTCTCATGGTCTGAGAGTCCTTTAGGTGCCTTTTGGCAAACTCCAAGCGGGCTGTCATGTGCCTTTTTACTGAGTAGTGGCTTCTGTCTGGCCACTCTACCAAGGCCTGATTGGAAGGTTCTCCCATCTCCACTGAGGAACTCTGGAGCTCTGTCAGAGTGACCATCGGGTTCTTTGTCACCTCCCTGACCAAGGCCCTTCTCCCCCGATTGCTCAGTTTGGCCGGGAGGCCAGCTCTAGGAAGAGTCTTGGTGGTTCCAAACTTCTTCCATTTAAGAATGATGGAGGCCACTGTGTTCTTGGGGACCTACAATGCTGACGAAATGTTTGGTATCTGTGCTTCGACACAATCCTGTATACGAACAATTCCTTGGACCTCAAGGCTTGGTTGTTGCTCTGACATGCACTGTCTACTGTGGGCCTTTATATAGACAGGTGTGTGCCTTTACAAATCATGTCCAATCGATTTGAATGTATCACAGTTGTAGAAACATCTCAAGGATGATCAATGGAAACAGGATGCACCTGAGCTCAATTTCGAGTCTCATAGCAAAGTATCTATTTCTGTTTATTATTTTGAATACATTTCTAAAAACGAGTTTTTGCTTTATCATTATGGGGTATATATATATATATATATATATATATATATATATATATATATATATATATATATATATATATATATATATATATATTGTTTTAAAAAAAATCAATTTTAGAATAAGGCTGTAATGTAACAAAATGTTTAAAAAGTCAAGGGGTCTGAATATTTTCCAAATGCACTGTAAGTGAGATATATGAAATTATATATATATATGAAATGTCTTACAGGTTGCAAATCCCATAGCAATGACAAAGGGAAAAAATGATATATAAAAATATACAGTGGGGGAAAAAAGTATTTAGTCAGCCACCAATTGTGCAAGTTCTCCCACTTAAAAAGATGAGAGAGGCCTGTAATTTTCATCATAGGTACACGTCAACTATGACAGACAAAATGAGGGAAAAAAAATCCAGAAAACATTGTAGGATTTTTAATGAATTTATTTGCAAATTATGGTGGAAAATAAGTATTTGGTCACCTACAAACAAGCAAGATTTCTGGCTCTCACAGACCTGTAACTTCTTCTTTAAGAGGCTCCTCTGTCCTCCACTCGTTACCTGTATTAATGGCACCTGTTTGAACTTGTTATCAGTATAAAAGACACCTGTCCACAACCTCAAACAGTCACACTCCAAACTCCACTATGGCCAAGACCAAAGAGCTGTCAAAGGACACCAGAAACAAAATTGTAGACCTGCACCAGGCTGGGAAGACTGAATCTGCAATAGGTAAGCAGCTTGGTTTGAAGAAATCAACTGTGGGAGCAATTATTAGGAAATGGAAGACATACAAGACCACTGATAATCTCCCTCGATCTGGGGCTCCACGCAAGATCTCACCCTGTGGGGTCAAAATGATCACAAGGACGGTGAGCAAAAATCCCAGAACCACACAGGGGGACCTAGTGAATGACCTGCAGAGAGCTGGGACCAAAGTAACAAAGCCTACCATCTGTAACACACTACGCCGCCAGGGACTCAAATCCTGCAGTGCCAGACGTGTCCCCCTCCTTAAGCCAGTACATGTCCAGGCCCGTCTGAAGTTTGCTAGAGTGCATTTGGATGATCCAGAAGAGCATTGGGAGAATGTGATATGGTCAGATTAAACCAAAATAGAACTTTTTGTTAAAAACTCAACTCTTCGTGTTTGGAGGACAAAGAATGCTGAGTTGCATCCAAAGAACACCATACCTACTGTGAAGCATGGGGGTGGAAACATCATGCTTTGGGGCTGTTTTTCTGCAAAGGGACCAGGACGACTGATCCGTGTAAAGGAAAGAATGAATGGGGCCATGTATCGTGAGATTTTGAGTGAAAACCTCCTTCCATCAGCAAGGGCATTGAAGATGAAACGTGGCTGGGTCTTTCAGCATGACAATGATCCCAAACACACCGCCCGGGCAACAAAGGAGTGGCTTCGTAAGAAGCATTTCAAGGTCCTGGAGTGGCCTAGCCAGTCTCCAGATCTCAACCCCATAGAAAATCTTTGGAGGGAGTTGAAAGTCTGTGTTGCCCAGCGACAGCCCCAAAACATCACTGCTCTAGAGGAGATCTGCATGGAGGAATGGGCCAAAATACCAGCAACAGTGTGTGAAAACCTTGTGAAGACTTACAGAAAACGTTTGACCTGTGTCATTGCCAACAAAGGGTATATAACAAAGTATTGAGAAACTTTTGTTATTGACCAAATACTTATTTTCCACCATAATTTGCAAATAAATTCATTAAAAATCCTACAACGTGATTTTCTGGATTTCTTTTTCTCATTTTGTCTGTCATAGTTGACGTGTACCTATGATGAAAATTACAGGCCTCTCATCTTTTAAAGTGGGAGAACTTGCACAATTGGTGGCTGACTAAATACTTCCCCCCCCCCCCACTGTATATACATACAATAGGGAATCATTGAATCCAAAACCTGTGTCTTCTTGAACATGTTGTAAACATGTTGTTAACACTAGCTAAACTAAACACCTGCTACCTCGGAAGCCTGTAGCAGCTGCATCTGTTCCTAACATGAGCTTTGCTATCTATGTTGTAAGGGTTCATCTGTCTTGTTGCCAATTGCAAACTGGTAAAAAGGAAATTGACCTTTTTTGTATGAAGGTTGGCGTACTTGACTAGTCATTCGGTTGTTGAAGTCTTCGATGTTTCAACCAGAAGAAAAAGAAATCATCCAAATGAAGTATAGAAGTGGCGTGTTGGTATTGATCAAAACTGTTTGGGTTGCTAACCAAACAATAAGGTTGACTTCAGATCGAGGTCAGGTTGGGTTTTGTGGAAATGAAACAAAAATAACCTTGCCCTAAGAAACAGCAGCTATGTTTGCGCTCTCACACACAGAGGCAACGGCTGCTATGTTAGTCCATTTGGAGCTTGCTCATTAAGTCGAGTGCACCTCTCTCAATTCTAGGTCCACACAGTCACCATAACAACCGAGAGAGAAAGCTGTTCCCACGCCCACCAGCTAATGACATCACTAATGACTCCCAGCCCCACAGGCCATTTGGCTGGCATCTGATGACTCACATGGGGTGGTGGTCTTTGAAGTGTCATTACACAGTTGGCCTGAAGGAGGCAGCACACTCCTTAGATTCTAATCTAGGTCAGGGATGGGCAACTGATCCAGGATCAGTAGACATGTCCCATATCCTTCCTTACAGTCTGTAAGGAAGGATCAGTTCACATTTCCCATTTCCTTCCTTACGGTAAGGAAGGAGATGGGACAGGTGAAATGATCCTGGATCTGTGCCTAAAAGGGCAACTTCTACCTAGAGCAGTCCTCAGCGGCCTGATTGGTGTCACACTTTTGCCCCAGCTAACACGCCTGACTCCAGTAATCACCTAATCATGATCTTCAGTTTAGAATGCAATTAGTTTAATCAGCTGTGTTTGCTAGGGATGGGGGGAAAAGTGTGACATCACTCCGGCGCTTCGGTAATATTGCGCTGAAGATTTTATAACAAGATGTATTTCTATGTTTTGTCCCAGTTTTTATTTTATTTGTATATTTGTAATTTATTTGTGCTCGAAAAAAGTTGTGGATTAATTGTCAAGGATGAATTAAATTATAAATATGGTTAATGAACACAGTTATCCCTTTGAATAATATTGTATATACCTTT